GCCAGAGGCAGGCGCCGTCGTTCGAGCCCTAGGCCGCCGCCTCGCAGGGCGGAGCGCAGCCGGGCCGTCTTTCCCCGCACCGGTGCCCGCCCCGGCCGCCGCCTTGTATGCCGCGAGGCGCTGGCGCGGCGTGCGCGACGAGAGAGCGGCTTGGAGATGCGTTGCTGAGGCGCGAGAGGGACCGAGGGGCGGGCCAGGCGTGGCGCTGAGATGCGCGAAGCCCGGGCCTGCAGTACAGCGTCTGCACCTGGCGTGTAGGGGCGACAGCGTGTGGGGGCGACACGCCCTCCACCCCCTGATGCGCAGCGTGCTCCTCCGCCCAGCCGCATCGAGGCTTCGGGTCATGGCCTGGCGGGCCTTTCCCAGTCTTTGGCAGGGAGCTGCAAACCTATTGGTTGTGAGTGCTGAGTGACTGCAACGACCGCGTCAGTTGCCATTTGCGACTGAACGCTAACGTCAAGGGTTTCTAAACTAATTTCTGCCCCAAGGCTCCTGAGTCAGAATTGACCACGCAATTGAGCGCAGCTTGAGCAGGAGCATTCACTTCCCATTGGAAAAGGACTGCTTCCAACTCTGGCAGGCACTGGAGCACAGGCCTCTGTAAACATGTGACCTTTGCATCCTTAATGAGCGGGTGAGTTTTTTTTGCTTAGGGCCTTGAAGGGTGCGACAACAGTGCAGACAGTGTGGTGGACCAGTAGGGAGGCCTGGAAAGCACTTGATGCCAGCTGGCTGCTGGCGCTTGCTGCAGGGAGCCCACTTGCAGAGGGTGACAAGCAGATGATTGAGGTCGGTGCCTCACTTTTGTGGGAGCTGATTGCCCTGTTCTTTGCGGCCAAATCCATCCGGTGGTTGCTCAAGTTTGCCTTGCTGTGCTGTAACAAATGGCGGGCAATGGCCCGCCAGCGGTTTTTGGATAGATTTCAGACGCAGCAGCCTGCACACCCGGCGTCACTTCTTGCCGTTGCCGCCGCCGGCAGCGCCGCCGACGCCGTCCCTGTGCCCGAGGTTGTGGTGCAGCTTGATGGCCTTCTCAACATATTCCACAAACTCGTCGCGCCGCTTGAAGTATGACCGGTCAAACGCCCCGGTCTGCTTCAGAAACTCCACCTGCGCACAGTCAGCAATCGAGCTTCTAAGGGCCTCGGGTCTCTCTGGGTTGAGACAATACGGTACACAAAGCGAGTGTGAGCATCGTGGACAGCTGCCATCAATTGCCAGTCCAAGCAGCAGTCGCTGCAAGTATCCACCCTGATCGCCCCCACCCTTTCGCCAACAAGCCTATGCTGCCCAGCTCTACCACCTCGTCCTCACACCACCCCGTCTCGACCCGGCCTGGCCCGCCCTGCGCACCGCCTCGTCGTCCCACACATAGTCAGAATGCGTCGTGCTCGCCATCCGCGCGCCATCGCGCAGCACGTAGCCCGGGTTGCACGTCCAGATGCTCTTCGACATCGTCGTCCCCATCACCAGCTCCGGGTCGCGCTTGGCGGCGCGCGTGAAGGCCGGCAGCCCGACCTGGTCGAGGACTGACAGCGGCGGCGGCGGGCTGGGCGGGTTGTAGGCGGGGATGCGGCCGGCGGCGACCTCGTGTTCCAGGTGCTTCCGCTGGATCTTGTTCTCCTTCTTGATGGTCTCCTGCGGGCGCGAGTGCGTGCAGTTGCCGTGACGCTCCAGCTGCTGGGCCCAGGCGTAGGCTTGGGGGCAGCCGGCCGCGACGGCGGCGGCGGCAGACACAAGGAGGGGCCGGCCGCCCCAGGGGGCTGCAGGCAATGGGGCCGGCCGCCCCAGGGGGCTGCAGGCAATGCGGTGAAGCGCCCTGGGTGGTGCGGGCGGTCCGTGACCCTGTCACCTCTATGATTGCCACTCGTGCTGAGTCCAGGTACCACGCAGGCGGCATTGCGGCTGGGATGCACTGCACGCTTTGCTACAGAATTTTAGTGGGAGTGCGCAATGTGGCTACTGCACTGCTGTGCTAAAGGTGCGCGCTCCTAGCACGTTCCGGGATGTTGCGGAATTGAGGGTGTGCAGATGAAGTAGCTTTTTTGTGCACGTTAAGCGCATGCGGTGTCCTGAGAGTAGCCGCTGTTTCGTCCGGGGCCTTGTCAGAGTCTCTTTGACGGTGCCGACGATACCGTACACTAAAAAGCTGTTTTCAAGATACAGAAAATCAATTGTGTATCGACTCAAGATCTCCTTGATTCAGCATAGATGGCAGGTGCAGCTTCCGCCATAGCGCACAGCCTGGACTGTGGACGCACAGGGTGATGGATGCTGCAGTCCGCTGTGAAGCGATGCTACAGAGGGCGCAAGGGCTCAAGCTGACAATCCAGCAGCTGGCACCACTGTGCACCTTGTAGCTTGATGCCATGAAGTGTGTGCATTGTGCGCGTGTGAGTGTGCCTCGCATGTGCGCTTTGATGCCACCTGTGGCTGTGAGCGCGACCTGTAGGACTCATTTCTCACCACGCCGACAAGACCAAAATGGGCGCTTTCAAAGCAAGCTGAGCCAACAGGTAGCAAACACGGTGGTATTGACATGGCTGCATTACACCGCCTCAGGACATGGACCGCTGTATTGGAAGAGGTCGCTTATGATTTTGCAAGTGCGGTGCATCAGCCATCAAGGCGTGCGTGTGTCGCTCAGCGCAGGCAGCAGCAAGTGCGCCGCGCATGCCAGATTAGGGGGACAGGAAATGAATTTTGGATTGGGGACGGGTCTCCGTACATACCGGCTGTCGCCGCTTGCATGTGCGCGGAGAAGGGGGCCGGCCGAAATCTATACATTTGACCGGTGACGCCTGGCGGCGCCGCCTCGCGAATCTCAGTGAAAGGCAACTAGCTCACCCACCGCGGCATGCAATAATCCCTTCAACCAGAGTTGCATAAGCCGACTCGAAATAAACCGTGGGCACCCCGGCAAGGGGCCGCACGCCCCTCACGCAAAGCGGCGCAGCGGGCCGAACAAATCATGAAGAGCCCAGGCCCCTGACAGACAGAAGCCAGGGCTGTAAAGGAACGGAAGCTGCTCAGAAGTCGGCGTCCAGCTGGAAGTTGTGCAGCTTGCCCTCCAGGCCAGACATGGGGCCGTTCTTCTGGTACTCGCCCACCCTAGAGGATCAGGCAATGAAGACCACGCGGTCGAGCGGATAAGCTTCTCGTCAGCAGGCCGGACGCACGACCCCACCATACCCATGCAGCCCGCCCACGTGCAGCCGTCGAGAGAGGGGCGGCCTCGCAAGCCCCCGCAGCCCCCTCGCAATTGCCCCGGAAATTGCCCCGACCCTAACCCCGGCCCCGCCCCCAGGGCGCGCACCTCTTCTCAAAGAAGTTGGTCTTGCCGTTGAGGCTGATGAGCTCCATCCAGTCAAAGGGGTTGGCGCTGTGGTACTGCTTCTCGCAGCCCAGGGCCACCAGCAGGCGGTCGGCCACAAACTCGATGTACTGCGCCATCAGCTTGCCGTTCATGCCGATCAGGTCGACGGGCAGGGCCTGCGGCGGCGCGGATGTGTTTGTTGAGAGACACATTTGGAGGTGTTGGCGAGCGAAGTTGCGTCCAGGCGAAAACGCAGGAGGGGTTGATGATGCAGAGGGAGAGAGAGAGTGCGTGCGTGTGTGTGTGTGTGTGTGTGCGTAAGTGTGTGTGTGTATATGTAAGTATAGGTGGGTGTGCACGCGAGCAAGGTGAGAGATTTGGATTTACAAGTGGCATGTCGGCTGGAGGTGCAGCTATCCAGTGGCCTGTCTTGCGTAACTGCGCCCAGCAAAGCCACAAAGTTTAGACACACGCTGCGTCCCACAAACCGGACGGACCAACACCCCTATGGCACATTTGAGGCCTCCTCCCGCTCACTAACGCCCGCTGCCCTGCATGACCCCACCCCTTCAACGCCGCTCAATAAATCAATGACGAACGACACCCCTGCCCCGACCCACCTCTGTGATGAACTCAATCTCAATGGCCACGGCCTCCGTCACAATCTCCAGCACACGGCTGTTGGGGATCTTGTTGTTCAGCATGCTGCGGTGGGAGGGGTTCCAAACGTTTGACACGGGCACGGCGTCAGGGTGAGGCGGTGTGAGTATGGCGGTTGCCCAGGCCAGGGGGCCGTGCCGCTCTCCAGCCATCGAGCACTCGGGGTGAGGTGCCCTGACAACTGCCCTGGCTTCTGCGCGGCTGGAGTGGGGACCACAACGCCTAGTGCGGCGACGCAGCCCTGAGCGGCTCCCAATCCTGTTCCTCACCCGTAGAGCAGGCAGCCAAAGTCGGTGTGCAGGCCCTCGTCGCGGCTGATGAGCTCGTTGGAGAAGGTGAGGCCCGGCATGAGGCCGCGCTTCTTGAGCCAGAAGATGGCGCAGAAGCTGCCGCTGAAGAAGATGCCCTCGACCGCGGCGTAGGCCACAAGGCGCTCCGAGAAGTCGTCAGAGCTGGGGGGCAGGAGGGCGGCGTGCACATGCAGTTGTGAGTGTGCGGAGGGCGCACCGGCGCGTGGACAGCGCAGGCCGGGGACGTCCGGGGTGTGAAGGTGTCCAGAGAACCGGCCCTTGCGCGTGCGTGCAGCGCAGAGCCTAAGACCAGCTGGAAGGAGCGAAGGGCAAACACCCCAGCCCGCCTGTTTCGCGGGCAGCCTCGCGCGCAGCCCTCCAGTGGATGCCCCCCCCCCCCAAAAAAACACTCCTACCTGGTGATCCACTTGATGGCCCAGTCAGCCTTCTTCTTGACGGCGGGCACAGTGCTGATGGCGTGGAAGAGGCGGTCCTTCTCCACGGGGTCCTTGATGTACGACTCCAGGAGCAGGCTGTACATCTCTGGGATAAAAAGGGGGGTTCCAGTGGCGGCGATGGATTCGGCGGGCAATTGCGTTGGCTGTGTTTCTTGTTTCATGCGAGTGGACGTGATGCTGACGGGGTGTCGATACTGAGGCATGCAGGCGGCGTTCGCGGCCGCCAGACCTGATCGCCGGCTGCGGCCCTGCGCGGCGTGAGTAAGCGCCTGGGCAACACTTGGTCCCAACGTCATCATTACACATGCCGCCTCGGGCGCGGTCTCCCCTCACCGCTGTGGATGTTCTCAATGGCGATCTGGAAGCCGTAGAACGCGCGCGCCTGAGTGCCCAACAGGAGCGGCGACGCGGGGGTGTTGGCAGGCTGGGGGCAGGTGCGCCCGTGGGGGGCGCTCATCACAGTTGAGGGTGCGCACCCCAGAGCTGCTGCCGGACTGCGCCGAGGCAGTGACGCTGCGTTCTGTGCTGGGAATCGCTGATGCCTCGCCGTTC